GTCCTGAGGTGAACCGCTGTTGCTGCCCTGCGTTGCTTCCCCTCCCGTCGCTGTAGGGGAAGGGGAAGCGGGGAGCTGCCCCCCCGCGGCCCCTCTCCCTGCGAGCTCGCTCGCGGGCTCGCTGGCAACTCGCGTGGGCCTGAGCCGAGGCCCCGTCTTTGCGCTTGAAGAGCGGATGTACGGCCGAGGTTTTGCAGTACTGATAAAGGGCTGTGTCCGTTCCCACGGATGATTGCAAGGCTTGGGTATGTTATGTGTTAGGAACGCGGAAAAAAACATCAGTAGAATAAAAAAATACAAGTCGTGGTGGATGTCATTTTAATATATCGAGTTGTATGTTTAGATACGTTTTAACTTAAAGTAAGTTTCTTCTGTCCCAAGAGAACAAAATTGAATTCTCCAGGAGAGAAGAACTGACCCTTCAGAAAGCTGCACAGTCTGTAAGGCGAGAGCAAATACCTCTCCTCAGCAAGCATTAACCTTTACTTGTGCTGGTAGTCAGTGGCTCAGCAACTCAATTCAGTATTAAAAAAAATAATTTTTTTTCTTTGTGATCCTGCTGATAATCCCCTTCGCTTCTCCACTTAACTCAGCTGACTTCAATAAGACATTTAGAAAAAACAATATTTAGAAATGGACCAAAGTCTAAAAGACTTTATTTGGACAACATCAACTTTTAACTAGTTCTTTCAGCTTACAGATATAATTTTTTTTTTTAAGAAACAACTTGGCAATTATTTTTTCTGTAGTAGGGTTTGCTGTTTGTTAGATGGTCAGTTGCTGCCTTTATTGGCTGCCTTTGGAAATGCTTCAATATCTGTATCTCATAAACTTTTTAGAAAGTGCTTTGTTAACTTACTTGAAAGCATTCACAAGCTGAAATTTTGTGAAATTTGTGAAGGGTATACTCTAAAAGAGCTAGTTCTTATCAGTGAAGCATAATATTGACATCTTAGCTGAATTGAAACAATATATTTTCTGGAAATATATTTAAAATGAGTCTCAGTACTCCACTATGAAAGGATGTTTTGTCAGTAAAATCATGTTCTAAAATGATTCAGGGTGAAAAGAAATCCAGCTGACCCTCTGATAATAGGGGAAAATGCTTATTAGTATGCACAGTTGCTATGGATGAATTATGTTCATAAGAAATTCTAGAAGTAATGCAGTGCTACAATTAATATAAAACTTCTTGCAGTATCTCTTTGCTAATTTGGTTTTTTTTTTTTTTTAGAAAAAAGTTTGTTACCCCATATATAAGACTGCTAGTAATTTTTAATCTTTGTTTACTTTCCTTGCAGCAGGCCCCAGTAAGTCTCTGTCAGCAAGAAATACAGCATGCAGAGTGATTGTTCACATTGACTTGGACTGCTTTTATGCACAAGTAGAAATGATCCGTAATCCTGAATTAAGAGAGAAGCCTTTAGGTATGACTTATTTTGCTGCAGGTTAATTTTGGGATTATATGTATTCAAGCAGAAGAAACTATGGACATGCCTGCATAGTAAGATGTAGACAGTCACACAGTAGCTTTAACCACATCCGGAGTGAGCAAGGTGCAGGCTAGATTCTTATGTAGCTGTGTGAGTACAAGACTAATAAATCCTCTTGAGGAGGAGTACAGATGCTTGCCAGCATCTCTGAACAATTCTGGGGATTGGAGATGGTTTATATCATACGTGAGAGGGCTGAGCTCCACAAACAAGCCTGTACCTTTTGACACGCTCACGCTCAAAGCATACTTTATTCCATTCAGAATTTAAGAATAAACGCAAGGCAGTCAATGTCTAGGATCAGTGGAGAACGTACTTCTTAAATTGACTACAGAGCAGTTTTCCAGATACGATTGTTTGAAAAGGCCCAAAATGGGGAGCAATATTAAAATGGGGGAAAAAATAGACATAATGTTTTAAAATGTTCTTGCCATCAAGTAACCAAATCAAGAGATGTGTCTTTCTCTTAGTTTTGTAAAATAAGATTAATGCTTTTTGTTTGCTTGCTTGCTTAAATGTTACATTCTGATCAAAGCACGTGCATTGCAGTTTTTGGCAGCGGTGTGAAAGTACTGTGGCCTTCTGTGACATACAGAGAAACCTAAATTTTTTAAATCATTCAACCATTATTTTTCAGGTGTGCAACAGAAAAACATTGTAGTTACCTGTAACTATGAAGCCAGAAAACTTGGAATTAAGAAACTGATGTCTGTCAGGGACGCTAAAGAGAAGTTTCCTCAACTGATACTGGTTAATGGAGAGGATCTAACTCAATATAGGGAAATGTCATACAAGGTTACAGGTACAAATTAACAATTATTCAATAGAGGACAAAAGCTCTCTGTTAAACTCTGTGCACCTGCATGCATGTGTAATAGTGTTACTATGTTGTATTTTCCTGCTCTAAAAGTTCTTAGGAGAACGAGCCTTATGCTATGGTGATAATACTTACTGTTGTGCAGTGTCAGCTTAATATGCCATAAAATAGGCCACTAGATTTGGTTTCAGTCTGTGTCAGGCATTACATATAAAATTTCATGGGATCTGTATGCTGTATTAGGATTATGCCCATATACTTCTTTATTTAAAAAAAAAAAAAAAAAAAAGATTCCTAAGGATTTCAGTAATAAATTTCCAAATAAGTGATGGAGAACAGAATCCTGATACCTGCAGCTGGGTGAGCTTCTCTGATACCTCTTAAACTTTAGAGTTTAACCTTAACTAAGTGATATGCCAGCATTAGTTACTGTTTTTATCACTACCAATGTTAATAAATGTAGTAGTAATAATTTAAAGGTGGAAGCCCACATGCTTGGTAAACCAGGATTCCCTTGGACAAAGTATCACAGAGAACTATAGTCTCCAATCTCAAAAAGAATTGAGGAAAGAACTAAAACATTAGAGAGAAGAACAGCAGATCAGAGACAACTGTAGGCTAAAGAGATTTTTCTCTTTTTCTTTTGTTAAATAAAAAGATATTTAAAAGATTTAAAAGTGTGGGGTGTTTGTTTTGTTTTGTTTTGTTTTTCTTAATCCAGAAGGGAACACCATCTCTATTCATGCAAGCGTCCTACTTGAATGCATGGGGAATTTGCTGTGGGTTGGTGCAAATATGAAACCTCAGTTTTAGTTGTGTATATATTATCCTTGGTTATTTTTTCCTCCTAGATTTGTTGGAAGAATTTTGTCCACTAGTGGAAAGGCTTGGGTTTGATGAAAATTTTGTGGATATCACAGAGATTGTAGAGAAAAGACTAAAACTACTACAACAAACTGGATGTTCCCAAGTATGCGTGTCCGGCCACATATACAATAACGAAAGTGAGTTAAACCTTCTTTCTATTTGAAAAATACTTGTGAAGTTGAGTATAAAGTATCTGTTTGCTTCTAAGTGTTGTCTAAAGCTGAGCAGTTAGCAGCTTCAGTTGCTCTAGGCTTGTTTTCCATGCTTGGGAATGCATGGATCACAAATGGGAATCAGTGTTACGATTAGCTGGTACAAAGAGTAAGTCTGCAGCAGATGAACATGCACAGTGATTTGGGAGAACAGTTTGCTGTTGTCCTTTTTTTTTTTTTTCTTCCCTTTAAAATAGTTTTAATGTACTAAGACATTTAGCATTTTAATTGAGTTTGAACTTTATTGCCAGTTGGAAACATTTAATGATTTTTTTTTTTTTGTTTATGAATTAAAAGTAAGGTTTTGCTACAGCCTTTAAGTCAGGAATAAAGTTACTGAGATTGAAGTAGCTAACTTAGCTGCTTTATACATCTTTATTGTGACCATTGTTTCTCATGTGTGCATGTGGTATATATACTCTGATACTCATTTCTTATATTAGGGAAGAAAGCAATTTTCTTTCTTGGACGTAATGTTACTTTGAGCTATTTCTATGGTTTTGAATATGGTTTGAGGAGAAGGGGAAATGTGTGAAAAGTCCTTTTCCTCATTACTGTTTGCATCTGAGTAATAAAAGCTTAGGTAGAAAGCATTCCTAAATCTCTGATTTGGTTATATTGATGCAAGAATCTGATTTAACACTTTCCTTGATATCTACAAATATATTTTATATTTGAAATACTCCCTACACATTATGCATCTTTGAAAAGTATTCCTCTGGTTTTGGAAAGTAGCATTCTCTCTTTTACCAGGATTTGTGAGATAGGCGTGAGCTTAAACTCGGATGATGAAGCCATGGCAATACCACCTTACCCATGGGACCTGTTTCTCATACTGTTTTAATCCATTTTGTAAAAAATCTCCATGTCTTAGAGAATTAGCTAAATGAGTACTTACATTCCAAGCCCCGCTTTCCTTCTCTTTTGCAGCTATCAATTTACAAGATACAATGCATGTAAGACTAGCTATTGGATCTCGGATTGCAGAAGAGTTGAGGGAAGCTGTGCATGCTAGATTGGGCCTCACAGGCTGCGCTGGAGTGGCTTCTAACAAACTACTGGCTAAGCTGGTTTCTGGTACCTTTAAACCAAATCAACAAACAGTTCTTCTGCCTGAAAGCTGTCGGGATCTAATATGCAACCTTGAGCACCTCCACAAAGTGCCTGGTAAGAGGGTGGTACAATAAGCATTGGTGGAGAGCATATTGAGAGCTCTTAAGAATATGAGAGAAACTTCCAAAATTTTAGCTGAAATAATTTTACAGTCTAGTTCTTGAAAGGGGATCGGAGGATTTGGAGGTGTGTTTAGGGTTTTGTTTTTCATTTCTTACACTGTTTCTGAATTTTACTTTGCAGAAGCAATGAAAACGCTTCAGTTATTTTAATTTTTAGTTGTGTCATAGAAGTCATACAGCATTCTTTAGGATGCCTTCAAAAAGCCTGAGAGACTACCTTTCTAGTTACTCCATGCTGACGCTGTGCTATTGGCCAAGAAATATTGATCTAGGCTACAGACTTTGGCAGATCTTTTGTTCTGTCCCAGTGTGGTTTTTCTAATGGCAGATTGCAAAACTTGGAATAGAAACTCACCAAAAATTTTGCTGAAAAACTTGCAATACAGTAATGAAAACAGTTACTGTCAATACTGAATCCTACATGGGCAGGCAGTTATATTTACCTATGAGTACAGATTTTTAATACTGGGTGAGTAATGATGCTTTCAAAATATTTTAGTACTTTATTTACAAGATGTATAAATACGTTTTGTTAAGTTTTGCTGATGGCAGATAAAGTGTATACAATTATAAATGGTACTGAGGTGAATGGTAAAGCACTTATTCACTGTTTTCCACAATATAAGAGCTGAAGCTTTCCAAATGGAGGTATCAGTCAATATGCATAAGCTGTTCTACACTAGACAAGATTATATCGTAGAATTCATTGCCCCCCAAGCTTAGGAGATTAAAAGAACAAATAAGTTTTAAAGTTATAGTACAAAAATTGTATACTGAATTGGTCAGTCAGTAGCTACTAAAAGTGACTTTTTTGTTAGATGAAGTCTTGAACTCAGGAAATGTCCCACCTGTTATCATCTTGGAAGATCAGCAGAAGAATCTGCGTTACCCTCTTGCCTTTTATTTTTTCCCCGAGTTCTGTGCTACTGGCTGCTTTTGTCAGCAGGATAGTGGACTAGCTAGATGTTTTTGTTGACCAGTCTGAGAGTTTTTAAAGATAACTCACTTTACATAACTAAAGATAACTTTAATGACTTTCACTTTTCTGTGTATTTAATATACATTTTATTTAGGCATTGGCTATAAAACTACTAAACGCCTCGAAACGCTGGGCCTTAAAAGTGTGTGTGATCTCCAGGCGTTTCCATCTGCTATATTAGAGAAGGAGCTTGGTGTTTCTACTGCTCAGCGTATCCAAAAACTCAGCTATGGAGAGGATGACTCCCCTGTGACTCCATCAGGCCCTCCTCAGGTACAAGTATTGTTCTGAAGTACTTTTGAAAGAGCAAAAAATTGCTTTGATTTTTATACAGCTTCACTAGAGTAATTGAAATGGTTCCCAATTATAGTGGTACTTTAATGTAACAATTCCTACAGTTTTGTATATATATTCCCTAGTATAACTTATGATATATTAATGTGTAATGCTCCTGAAATTCAGTTGAGCTCTGACTGTCAAAGGTATCTTAGATTTAATTCTACGTATTTAATTTTGATGCGAATTTTGAGCTAATTATAAAATTGAAAGGACTAATGTGTTTTTTTCAGTCCTTTAGTGAAGAAGATTCCTTTAAAAAATGTTCATCAGAAGTGCAAGTTAAAGAGAAAATAGAAGCATTGCTTGCTAACCTCTTAGACAGGTGACTGTCTTCAATAGCTCTTTTTGCTGACTGAATTTGTGACGTGAAACGACTCTGAGCGTATGTAAGGTTTGTCTCATGCTCTATAACATTTCTTCTTTCAGCAAAATGCGCTTGGAAGGACAGCACCTGCCTTTCCAACTACTGTTCCCCTTTGGTCTCTTATCTCAAGTCATCAATTGTCCTTTTGCGTTGCCTCGTTTTCCTCTTAACTGTCTTTCATATCCTCCTTCCCCAGCTGGCTGCCAGCTATTCCATTCCCATGCAGCTTCCCTGAAAAGATTTTTACGTTATTCCCTTTGCTGATTCTGTTCTATTGCTCTGATGATGCATCATGGTATTTTAGTGCATCTTCGCTAATCTCCCTTATTTTCTATGACCGGCCATAGATCTTCTCTTTCCTTTCTGTGTGTGACTTCCTCTAATTGCAGTCCCTTAGTTATCACCACTTACACTTGTCTGCTGTTAGGCAGCTCATTTTTCTGTTAGGCTGGAAGCCATTTCCATTTCTTCCTCCTTCCTTTGCCCCATGAATCCAGGCAGTATACAAATCTAGCTACTGCAATTTGACAACTGACCAGAATATCAGAGGACGACAGGATGGGCTTACTCTTTGATTTCTGTGACTTTCCTGTCCTCTCTTTCTGTCCTGTGACTCTAGTTCATTTTACAAAGATAAATGGAAAGGAGCAATATCCTAGCAGCAATGAACTGTTCTGTGATTGTTTTTCTTTTACTGTGCCTCAACTTGCTGTTCTGACTTTTGAACCCCTCTTTGTGTCACTTCTAAATAACCTGTCTCCCTCATCAGTTTGATTTTTTTTTTTCTTTTTTGCTCTACATAGTTTCATAGTCTCCTCATGTCTTTCCAAGTCTTAAAATAACTACAAGTCTTAACGGTCTTCTACCCCCACATCTATGTAAGATTAGCAATAGATATAGCCAGTTTAGTTATATTAACATTGTGGATAGGGAGCCTTTTGTCTGCCTATCGGACTTTGCTCAGTAATCATAAAATCTGGATTGAGGCTGTTCTACATCCCATCTTGTTCATAACATTTAGAATTAAGAAGTCTTGTGTA